AGAATCATATAACATTAGAAGATACGAGAAGCAAGAACAAACTGAAGCCAAGGAAATAGTCTCATAATTACCATGGATTTGCAGTTTATGTCACTGATGTAATGCAGGAGTTGATAATGTAGCAGACATTTACCTTTGACTTATCCTGCCTAATGGTCTTCCATTAGCTGCCACAGGGTAAACATTGTATGCATAATTTCTTTTTAATTTCACCGAATATTTATAGTCACTTAAAGAGCCTCACTGATTTTTATTCCTTGTAAGGGCTTTAATATTAACATGTTTCAGTTATATTCTAACTTTATAACCTGTGAGGCAATTCTGTCATGACGGCATGTATGGTTTATAATAATAGTTCTTACAACATTGATCTGGATTCAAGAATATGGACAATAAAATACATCTGTTGGAGTGTTTGTACATTGTAGCACCACTCTGCTACACTGTAATTTCTTTCTTTATCCTATGAAGGAAATAAATTGCATGGAAAAAATATCTTTTACATGCTTTTTTAATAAGTGTATATAACAAAAATAAAGAGCCAGTATTTTTTTGTCAAGTCATATTTTCCTCAGAAATTGAAATATTTTTGTCTTAAAAATAATGTGCATGTAAAATGTCCAGATTTACGTTAATGATAAGGGACCGTGGTTTGGGGGAAGGGGGAGCCTCTGGGGGAGAGATGCAAGATTTAATTCAATGATAAGGGGCCGTGGGTTGGGAGGGGACTCTGGGGAGAGGTGTCCAGATTTATTTCAATGATAAGGGACTGTGAATAGGGAGGATAATTTACTTGGAGGGTGGGAATCTAGGGGAGAGGTGTCCAGATTTACTGAAAAGGTGGGAACACAAGTAGAAACTTCCCACTTCTGAGAAGCATTCTCCATTTAACTTAGTATCCTAGCCGATCAGAATCAATTCCACTCTCAGCTTACAAATCAACCTTCCCAAAAACTACTATTCTTAATTTCCATTTGTAATACTACCTCAAACCTAATTGTACAATGACCACTCGTACCCAGATGCTACCATACTTCCAACCCTCGACCAAATCGACATTGAAGTACCATTAGTAATAAATCTGTAACAGCATACACTCTTGTAGGTTCTCTGACCATCTGACATTGAAAACCATCTTGAAGAGTTTCCAAGAACAATCACTCACTGTTCGAGACCCAAGGTATCAATCCACATGCCTAAACCTAAAATCCCCCTCCTCCATGATTAAAAACCCTTCAGCTGCTGTATTCTTGATCCCAGTACAAATTTCACATTAATTTCATCACACTGCTCAGGTGGCCTATAACAGTTTCTAATAAAAAGCCTTTTACTTCTATATATATTTCCACTAATAAAGAATATACTGATTCAATATTCTTGTTAATATCAACTTCAAACAGGCTGGAGTTTGTGCCCCACATATAAAGCCATGTCTCCACTTAACAAAATTCTCTATTCCAATAGAAACTTTAAGGTCATCAATTTTGCTTTTAATATTTCTGACATTAGAATAACAACAAACAAGCCTATTTTGTAGTCTGGTACCATATTTTGTTCCAACTTATATAATGGTGTTATTTTGTAGTAAGTTGATAATGACCCTCGCCTCTGTCAAGCCCTAATTTAAGGCTGCCCTTACTGCCGAGTTGATAGCTCTTGCAAATACATTTGCCCCTAAGCTATTTAAGTAGTTCATCCATTCAAAAAACCTTCTTTCTTCAGTTCAAACTGGTTCTAGAAACTGATCTAACTTATCTGCTTATTTTAACACAATGACTTAAGCCTAACATCCAGCATTAGACTATAGCCAATGATAGTATAAAATGTAATTTATTATCATATTAAATATATAAAACATGAACATTATTTCATTTATTAAGTTTCTTCTCACTCGTATATTTTCTTTTTGGTGCTTTTCATGTTCTTTTCCCTGTATACCTTGGTATAATGGTTGCCTTAGTAACACTTTTATATCTGTTTTTCGATTAATAAATATTTTAATATAATTTACATTCTTATCTTAGTTATCTTTAAATAACTCATTATTGTATAAAAAAAAAGCTATAATACTATAAATTATACTGTATTTTTGTGATGTTTTTTTTTAAATTGAGTTTGGTTTATAGTGATGGGTATGCAAATACTATGGTGTTTATTGAACATCTGAATTTGTTTTACATTGTTATTTGTTTTCTCCATAAAAATTCTGATCCCTAAGATGCAAAGTAATCCTTTCTCTGCTTGTGTGTTTGGTAATTATCTTTTAATCTACCACCATATATTTCCTATTAAACGTGTATTTGCCAGTGTTTCTTGAATGATGAAATATTTTCACAATGATAAGAACTCACGAGTGAAAGCAAAAGAAAATATGTTATGCTAACCACACTACATCTGCCACATCCTGTGCTGACAAGGCCCTTCCCCCAATACCAGGGCTCACCAGGCTGGCTGAAATTGACATAGTAACAGTAATATACATATTTTCATGAACAATGATTGGTGTGAACCAGATTATGCAAAAAAAATTGTAAATATTATCAATTTTATCAAAGTTATTTACAAATCAGGTTTTTACAGTAATAGTTAATTACACATTATTCATTTGATCACTGATTATTAATTTATATTAGTTATTATTTTTATTTGAATCAACACAACAGTAATACTTACGGTTAAAAAACTAGAAAATATCAATAGAAAAAAAAAAAACTTGCTGAAAATAACCATATTCACGACCATGCAAAAACAAAGCTGGATATAAACACAGATCTTTTGTTACATCTGAACCTGTAATTATTTTTCTTCTTTGCTACATTTGTTAGTAATATTTTATGTTTGGTATTTGTGTTTTGGGATAATAAATTAATTTCACAAAATTTTGTTTCCACAGTTCACCCTATAGGAATCAATCAAGTAACATTTAATGGTTTATATTTTTCTGTAATTTAGTGTATTAATCAGCACGTTTGTATATCATCTGTGTTTTTTTGGTATCACTTTAGTTGAATTTAATAATTTTTGTAACCCACCAAAAAAAAAAAAGTTACCCCCCTTTTTTGTCTCTTAGTCTGTTTGGTTTTTAATAGATTTGTTTGATATGCATTTTGTTGGGAACCATTCTTACTGTTTTACAGTAGAGTATTAAAGTTACAGAGCTGAGACAATGAAAAAAAAAAAATACATCTGCACTCCTACTACAGGTAAAAACATTAAATGGACATTTATACATGTACTACAGTTATATATGTTGTATTATTGTGTCCCCTCTTTTTCTTTTTACTTTGTTACCTAAAGATTCATTTTAATTTGGTCAACTATCACATGTACAAAAGTTTAGGCAAATTAGAATAATCCAACCAAAAGTATGCAATAGGTTGTAATTCTATAGAAAAACACTAGCATGTAAATATCTTCATTTTTGCAATATTGTGAGTGTATGGGTGAAACTATCTTACTAGTTAAGGAACTGAGGTTTTTTGTTATTTTTTGCTCCATAACATATAGTTCATAGAATTTTCTCCAAGTAAGCAGTTTACACTTATGCTTTTTCTCCATAATACAATTTTTCAGACCTTCCTTCCTTATTAATCATTAAAAACTAAGAAAAACAACAACAAAAATTACATTTTTTGACATAATGGATGATAAAATATTTATTACAAATTTCAGCAAACTAGTTTTGGTAACAGTTACCATCAACAGGGCAATAATAATTATGGCAAAAACATTTTTGTTTTTCACTCTTAATGTAATAGTACAGTGTGGCTGAAAAGAAATTATATTTACTAGTCATTATCTCTTCTACAAAATAATGATGTGTATTTAAAACATATTTCTGAAAACGTTATTATTAAGTAAATTTTTCTAGATGATCATCCTTAGGCAGATACTCCACTCTTGTGTATACGAATTGTTTGTTTATACAAAATGTTCAAATACACTGTGAACATTATATATTTTTAATCCTGAAAAGTGTAAACCCAGACAGCAGTCTTACTATTCAATGGCATTTCCTTCACCAGCTAAAATGGATTCTTATTTATATCTTATGGTTTAATCTTAATATATTTTATTCAAAAGCCATATAATGAATGTTTTATTGCTGTTGTTAGTTGTTTTTTTTATATATGTAAAGGAACATCGCATCTGAATTATTTCTTATTCTAAACATAAAATGACGGCTTGCTGGTAAAGGAATAGCAGCCTATTGGTTCGTTGGATACTTCGTCTCTTTAATCGATGAAAAGTTTAAAAAAATCTTATCATCCAGTATCTCAGAAATAAATAGGCACCCCTACTGCTAAGAATAGGTTCAACCCAAGCCTCACTCTGGCGAGACTTGCCGCGCCACATTAATATGCTAATAAGTTCTACTTATCTTTATAGTTACCCTATTATCCTTCAGTGTCAAATAAACTAATTATAAAGTGTATCGTATTCCAATACTTGTATGCTAATACATGATCTTGGAAATATTAATTACGTATTTCACTTCAGAATCCATAATTAACCGCGAAAAGTCAAAACAAAATCCATGTGATCAACCATGGACACCGGTCAGACTCTGAAATAGTCCGAGACAGTCTCTTGTTCGTAGTTTATATTATTACACTTTACAGTCTTATTGTTAGCCCTTAATAGACATGAGTCACAATAACATTACGAAAAACAAACTCTGCAGTACTGTTCATGGCCTATTCTTTTAATACAGTTAATATAAACAAATAAATTTATCTCCCATGATAAACTTTTTTTGATATTAAGAATAATTTCAGTTCACATTCATATATCTGAGGTCACTTATTCATTTACGAATAGGCGACGATTTTTTGCAGGGTATAAGCTCCAGACAAACGACGGACGAAGACGTTTGCGCGCTCTACGACGGAAACCCCAACTACGAGTCACTGGGCCCGCGCCACGAAACAGGTAAGACTATAGTACCTCACAAAACTATTGACAACTGCAGAGAGTTATTTACGTTAAATTTTACAAACCTGCCAATGAGTCTTCTTCTGCTTCTTCCGTACCGCCTTCAGACTGATCTTCTGACAGATCTTCTTCTCTTTTGGACGGTGTAGGCATTTAAAATGGAATAAACTTCACATCAACTTGACACACGATATCGGAAGTAAGTCTTCAAATTTGATATCTGTACGCTAAATCCTCACCCCCCACGACAATACAAGGAAAAGGCTCACGCGCATGCGCCTGTCGACGTAAGACGCTTACTGACATCCCATAATAGTTTCTCCTGGGGGGTCCGGTAAGAGTCACGTGCCCTATGAATGTGAATAATCATCTAAATTGAATGAATAACAATTTAAAATTGAATTTTTTGGTCGCCTTATACTGATATACATACACGTATTAGCAAAAAGAAAAATAACTGTTAATAGTGTAAAAACTAGATATAAATCATTCTAAAGATAATCAATTTCAATGGCTTTGGTAGTTTTCTATTCCTTCTGTTTATATATTGTTAGACGGACCCTTCCTTAATGTTATTGATTTTCTGCAGTTATATCAAAAAATATTGGAAGTACTGCAGTTCAATCAAATGCAACAGATATAGACCTTAATCTGTTTTCAAATGCAAAGTATAAAAATGTGTATTGTAACATCTGAAATTACAATATTACCCCGTATTAATACAGTCACGTTTCACATAAACATCCGTATTTTAATAAAAAAAAAGAAACAACTTTACAAATATAATCATTCACATTTGGAGTGGGGTGGTGAGGCTTCTAACTGAAACCTTAAAATAAAAAACTAAGAGTAAGAATAAGCTTTTGATGTTAAGGCGAACTGGGAGTTACAGAATAACTGTGTTTATTGTATTGGTAGGAGAACCCTAAATGTAAATGATATATATATATATAAATCGAATGCAATACACAGTGGTTTGAATTGATGCCAATGAACATTTTAAAATGGAAAATGTTGCATTTTTAAAATAGAGTGTTGGTGTATATATTTTCACACACACACACATACATATTTAAGACTAACCAACAAACTATATTTTGTTTGTTAATTGTCCGTGAACATTATACATTTGCGCTGCATGTAAATTGATTTTCTCATTTATTCAGTATCACCGTACTTATCCCTTGCGATTTTTATGATAAATACCTATTTTTGTTTATAAACGATATAAGTATGTATAATTATCCTTTTTTTCAGATGTCAAGTATATTCCTTTGTCCTTTCTATGCTCTTTATCCTAAATACGTGTATATAATGTCTTATTTTTTGTATACTTCATATAGTCATATTATCAACTGTCTTCAATATGTTAGCTTCTTTGGAACATTGATACTTTTTTTTACCTCAAGGTGAAAAGCAAAATTTGTTTTATATACCAATTAATGTCAGTAACGTTACTGTTTGTAGCGTCCAAGGATATTTTCATCAGTCATAGTAACCTTCCTCACGGTAAATCTCCAGTCTTCGTGTGGGATGTAATATATTTCATAGTATTTTGATACTTAGTGTTAGTCAACTTTAAACAGATCTGCATATATATTTTTAATTTAGTTGTTAAGGCTTGCCAAAACTGTTATATCAAGCTGAAGTTTATGATGAAAGAAAAATTACCATAATGATCGTTTTGCCAAAATAATGGACTAAGTTGTTTTTTTTCACTCCAGATTTTTAAACGAGCTTTGTACATTACTTTTGATGTTGATTTATTAACTTACATAAACACGTTTTCATGGATTAATGGAGATATTCTATGTTCGAGGACGAGATTCGAACCCGCGACCTCAGTCAAGTGCTATAACCATCAGGCTATTCCAAGTTTAATAAAAATTAAAGGTAAGGAAAAGCTCAAACACTATAAATATAACAGAAATGACGTCTAGTTAGGGTGATGAAAAATATATTTGCTCAAAATTGTAGTGTTTTAGTTGGTCGTGGTATGGTTTGTCGTATTCCTTAAACTGTAGTACTGTATGTGACGTAGGAAAGGATTGCAGAGTTGGGGTGCTTGGCTAATATAATAATATAATTTACAGTTGTTATACAAGTCAAATATGTAAAAGAGGGGTTGCTGTAGCACCCCTGTACCTTCTGTTCCGACGCCTCTGAATTCTGTGTGCAACAAAATATACGACGAACAAAGTAAATATCTTGAACATTTATATCACGCTATTTAGATAATTATAATCTTGTGGGGAAAGACTTTCATTGCTTTTGATTTCTGTGCCTTTTTTTTATGTGGAATTTAGAAACTCAACTGAGTACGTTGAACATCTAATCTCGATATTAAGTGAACTTGATCAAAGTGTATAATGAAATAAGAAAAGTGTGTTACTTGAAAATAATAGCTTTCAATTAGAATAGATGTCGAAGCCTAAAATGAAATATTTTTCTTCTGCATGTATATATATATGTGTGTAGATAGTCTACTAACTCTATCACCATATTAGGGGCGTTGTGCATGAAAGATATTATAATAATGACACATTTATCAAGTCGCGACTTCGAACTTTATGGCTCATACTTTTTATTTAAATAAAATTGAAGAAATGTTTCATCACAATATTAGTGTATAAGGTTCTGAACATATAAGCACTTTTCTGTGATTTATTAAAACATACATAAAGAAATATCATATACAGTATACCGAGTATTATATAATTTGTGAGTATCGACGATACTACACTTAAACAAGCACCATAACTCGTCATGCATATAAAGTGACTACGTAATCAGGTTCTATTCAAACAGCTACATCACTTTTTTAGAGCAATATAACCGACCATAAAATGTTAAAAAACGTCTTTATCGTGTCATGCCAACATTTAGCCTTAAAGTCATTTTCTCGATGTATAATTGGCCCAGAAACTGTATAGGGAAATATTGGGTATCAAAATAAGCGAACTACGAAAATAACTATCAACTGAGCTACAAACAATGAACTGAATAGTTATTGTAGCTGATACAAATATACACACACAAATTCTTCAGTAAAATATGGACTTTTGGGTGACAAAGGGGAAACTAGTCTCTATCTTAAAATTTACGTATCTCTTTGCGCGTCGAAAGGTCCAATTATTTAGACGATTAAAAAATGTATTATTGGGTTATCTTGCGTCCTTTTTTTATTTTTTTCGTTTTAATTTTCGTAATAAAAGCTGTTGTTGTTGTTTTTTCAACAAAAGTACTAGTTCTGAAAAAAGCTCAGGAAAGCTGGCAAAATACTGAGAGAAAGAGAGAGACAAAAGATAAAGAGTACAAATAATGAATTACATTGTAAATTAGTTATAAGTACTATACCCAAGATTTGCTTATACTGTATTCTTTACTTGTTTGAGTAGAGATACGAGTCCCACATGCAAGAATATAACAAAAATCTAGTAAACCAACCATCAAACTTCACCAGCTCTGAAGACCACAGGGCAACTGTTCAGACGTCGTATATAGGTTCTGTATGATTTTGCAAACACACCACCATACAGGCTCGCTTTGTTCCTTAACTTGGTCGTAATGATTATTTTTTGACTGGTATGAGGACGACACATTTTATCGTGTTCTTATACGTATTTGACAGCTCAGTTACAATGATTCTGTTTGACTGGTATGAGGCCGACGCATTTTATCATATTGTTATACTTATTTGTCAGCTTCATTGCAAGGATTATTTTTTGATTGGTGAGAGGTGGAGGCATTTTATCATATCCTCCTTATTTTATGCCAGAGTTAAACGAGAAAGGCCGTAGTCAGTTCCTATGGCTATCTATCTCTCTCTATATATATATAGATAGATGAAATGTCTGTTTGTTTGCACTCTAACTCCAAAATTTGTATGTAAACATTATGAACTATGGAGAATGTCTTAAGGGGAACAAAATTTAACTTAACCCCATTTCTCTTTTGTAAAGCTTGTTGTTACTCCCAGCCTGTTGAGTAAATCTCAAACAATCTTGGCAGGTTGACGCTTTAGACAATGTTGAATATTCTAAAGGGATTCAATGGTTTTCCATGAAAGTTGCTGGATTGTTTCTTAAACAACCATGCTTTTCACATGGTCAATGAGATGTAGGGTGTTCTAGGGTGGGATCACCTCAAAATATTTATTTCTTGGTAGATGGAAAGTAAACTGCAAATGTTGTTTATGAAGAAGCTTTGTTATAATTTTAAAAGTTTGAGATAAAGTTTATGTTCAAGTTATTACTTTGAAATATACGATTGCTGTTAAACTTACATTGTTTTAATTAAGTTTAAACATTCCCCGTCAGTTGACGGGTATTTCATCTTGTATGCTAATAAGGTATTAAATATGTAGGGATATAGCTTTAACATCATATTTTGCATCTTCTAGTTTACATTGTTTGCTTATATCCAATCGTAGACCTCAAAGTTAAAAAGCAAAATTATCAAAAAAATAGCATGTTATACTCCCAAAAGGAAAGAGAGAGGACACATGATATCACAATTTTCTTTTTTTTTTTATGTCGTTCCATGAATATTCTTAATTATCTTTTACTGAAAAAGCAGAAACTTTTCAATGTTTTATTTCAGATATTCGTTTTCAGCCGTTTAACTCAAACATAAAAAAGTTGACACAGACTCAATGCTAAATATATGGTTGTTTACATAGGTTGCGGAACAAATTTGATTTTTGATTTTTTGCTATGTTAACCGTGACTGTTGAATTCAAAAAGTCTCTATCTCCATATTCCCATTCAAATGGGCACTTCGCTATCGGGTCAAAATAGGAGGGTACGTACCCCCAGTTTCTATCGTCTGCAATTATTTGTTTCCGGTGGTTGTTAGTATAGTAAGGTACCAGATAAGTAATTATATAACGAGGATAAATGAATAGACGGCCGTTATGCTTACGTATGTTTATAGAGTATCCTCCAAACCTGTGAGACAACTTATAACATGTTGCACTGGTTATGAAAGTGCCAATATGGATAACAGTGTACAAAAAAAAATAAAAATAAATCAGTTTTAAATAAATGGGTGAGTTTACTACAGTAAAAAAAAATATTTAGATTACAAAATGTTGTTTTTATTTTTTAGGGTCGCCTGACTAAGATTCAATGGTGTACAGTTGTCAGATTACTTCTCGTCCAAGTAGCGGTCATTTTTTTTCTAATATTTTTTAATCGTAAAGTAGCTAAACTGTATTTTTCATTACCCCTTGACTCATTACAAAGAAGCGATATATATATGACCTATGCATATATAAAAATGTATTACAAGTAATCAGTGGAGAAAGTACATTTACCACAAATTAGTGTTTCATTTCGTTGCATGTTGCGTCAGCGAGGTCACGTGACTAGTATCACGCCACGTCTTTCTAGAAATATCCTGTTCCCTCATGAATGCCCTTGCATTTACTAGACATGTGTTAGTCTTGTATGTATAAGACGTTCACAACGTGACGGGGAACAGTGTAATAAGTAATTGAATGTATGCGGACAGAATAATGTTGGCCGCGTGAGACG